CGCTGTGTGTTTGTGTCTGTGTGTGGGGGGAGCGGTGGGTGTAGTGGTTAGCGCGCTGTGTGTCTTTGTGTCTGTGTGTGTCACTGTCTGTGTGGGGGGAGCGGTGGGTGTAGTGGTTAGCGCTACGCCGCGCTACGAACCCGGCGACCCGAGTTCGATTCCCGCTCACGGCCACCACCGGTGACGATTATTTGAACCGGTCCTGGGCCTCCCTCTAGGTCGACTCAGCCTCAAACGAGTAACTGCTGCGTTGTGTGTGAACATCGCCACTGGGGAGACAAAGGCGGCCGGGCGTGGTGAATCAAAGTCCCGGGCGAAGCCGGGTAGTGAAGGGAGGAGAAAATAAAGTTTCTCTCAAAAATTTCAGTGCCGAGATTTGATGTCAATAATCAATTTTTTGTCTTCTAAAAAAATCTCTAATCGATTACACTGGTCAACACACTTTATCTGGCATAAGGTATTCCAACGGGTTTAAGGTAATTTTGGGGTGTTGATTTCAAATCTGGCATCAGTTTTGTCTATCACATCAGGTTTTTGAGATATCAAATATTGCATTTTCAATAAAAACTGCGGAAGAAAAATATTAAATGTGGATATCTACATAAAATGATATTATAAACACACTATCCTAAAAATACAGCACCATATTTTAACACTAAAGCAGTCACTGACTCGCAACAACTTGCAATCATAAGTGACAGAGTTAATTTTGGGTAAAATCAATGAAAATGGGGTATGCCGATAGCATAAAAATGAGATGTGATAGAGCAAATCTGAGATCAGATTTGGAATCAGCACCCTGAAATTAGTCTAGAACAGCTGCAAAAGTCCAGGCCAGAATTTTTTTTTTGTTGACCAGTTACTAAATCCTTTATATTAAGTTCACTTGCTTGCTTACGACCGTGCAAATCTTTCGGTCGTTTTTTAACCCACTTCCCGTGATCCAATCGAGCTGACGTTTTGCACAGACTCGTTGTGCGTGACAATACATTTTCGTGAAAAAAAATTTCCCAAATTTTACACTGTTTAGGGAATTTTTTTAAAATATTTAATTACCAATTGCTTAATGGTGGCAGACAATCATCTGACCCATAGGTGGCAGCCATCTCAAGCCAGAGGACGAGAGGACTCTAGCCGCCCCGATGCCACGCATATAAAGGATTAATAGTGAAAAACTTTGTTTTTACGGGTTAATTTTTTTTGTATTCGACTATAACTTTTTTTACATGGACTGCAAATCCCGGCACGAAAGAACCAAGAGAATGGATTCCTGAAGTGACGAAAGCTTTAAATCAAGATTCCACACCCTGTTGCTTGGCAGTCTCCTGCCCCGAGTGGAGGACTGTCCACCCCTCATGGTGGCAGGAGCCAGAGCCGGTCCACCGGACCTCCTGAATACCACAGAGATCCAGGCGGTACCAGTCCAGCTCCCGACAGAGGAGTGGCAGCCTCTCCCCCGCAGTGAGCGTTCGAACATTCCACGTGGCCACACGTAGTGGCTTTTCGTTGTTTGTGGAGGAGCCCCGAGGGTGAAGATTCAATCTCCTGGCTCCGCCAATTGGGGTTTGGCCAGGAGACGTTATAGACGCCTGTTCCCCCGGGGCATCCGGCACAAGCTTAGTTAGATTTTTGACACGTGGTTTAGTGGTAATTAATTGAAGGTGGAGGGGTTACCGGCCCCTCGCACAAATGCAGAGCCCCCATTGACCGCTGTGGTGGCTACAAACGCATTGAGGGGAAAAGCCGAATGGAATTGGCCGTTCCCCCCCCCCCCCACGCAATTGATTTCATCCACCACAGCGGATATGTCCAGCACCAACGAGGGAGGTCGGGGGTTGGTGGGTGAGTGGGCGAGTGGGTGAGACGGTGGGTGAGTGGGTGGGTGGGTCATTGGGTGAATGGGTGGGTAGGTGAGTGGGTGGGTGAGTGGGTGGATGAGTGGGTGGGTGAGTGGGTGGGTGAGTGGGTGGGTCAGTGGGTGGGTGAGTGAGTGGGTGAATGGGTGGGTGAGTGGGTGGGTCGGTTAGTGACTGAGTGGGTGCGTGAATGGGTGGTGAGTGGATGCGTGACTGAATGGGTGGGTGGGTGAATGGGTGAGTGGGCGAGTGGGTGGGTGAATGAGTGGGTGAGTGGGTGGGTGAGTGGGTGGGCGGGTGAATGGGTGGGTGGGTGAATGGGTGGGTGTGTGAGTGGGTGGGTGAATGGGTGAGTGAGCGAGTGGGTGGGTGAGAGGGTGGGGGGGTGAATAGGTGGGCGAGTGGGTGGGTGTGTGAGTAATGAATAATAGAGTGGGTGGGTGAGTAATAGAGTGGATGAGTGGGTGGGTGAGTGGGTGGGTGAGTGGGCGGGTGAATGGGTGGGTGAATGGGTGGGTGTGTGAGTGGGTGGGTGAATGGGTGAGTGAGCGAGTGGGTGGGTGAGAGGGTGGGTGGGTGAATAGGTGGGCGAGTGGGTGGGTGAGTGAGTAATAGAGTGGATGAGTGGGTGGGTGAGTGTGTCATAGAGTGGGTGAGTGAGTAATAGAGTGGATGAGTGGGTGGGTGAGTGTGTGAGTAATAGAGTGGGTGAACAAATACCCCCCAAGGAAATCGCTCGCATCCAGCGCAGCGTCACCATCCGTGGCCCCACTGGATTTATCCGAAACCACCGCACACACGTATACACGCGCACACGTATACACGCACACACGTATACACGCGCACACGTACACACACGTATACACGCGCACACGCGTACACACGCGCACACACGTACACACGCGCACACGTACACACGCGCACACACGTACACACGCGCACACACGTATACACGCGCACACACGTACACACGCGCACACACGTATACACGCGCACACACGTACACACGCGCACACACGTACACACGCGCACACGTACACACGCGCACACACGTACACACGCGCACACACGTACACACGCGCACACACGTACACACGCGCACACACGTACACACGCGCACACGTACACACGCGCACACACGCGCGCACACGTACACACGCGCGCACACGTACACACGCGCGCACACGTACACACGCGCACACGTACACACGCGCACACACGTACACACGCGCACACACGTACACACGCGCACACACGTATACACGCGCACACACGTATACACGCGCACACGTATACACGCGCACACGTATACACGCGCGCACACGTATACACGCGCACACGTATACACGCGCGCACACGTATACACGCGCGCACACGTATACACGCGCGCACACGTATACACGCGCGCACGTATACACGCGCACACGCACACACGCATACACGCATACACGCACACACGTATACACGCATACACGTATACACGCGCACACGTATACACGCGCACACGTATACACGCGCACACACGCGCACACGTATACACGCGCACACGTATACACGCGCACACGTATACACGCGCACACACGCGCACACGTATACACGCGCACACGTATACACGCGCACACGTATACACGCACACACGTATACACGCACACACGTATACACGCACACACGTATACACGTACACACGTATACACGCGCACACGCGCACACACGTATACACGCGCACACACGTGCACACACGTACACACACGTACACACGTACACACGCATACACGCGCCAGATCTGCTCCTGAAAGTCTCCACTTTTCTTGTTCAAAGAGATCTTTTTAATGGTTCTGTCAAACTCAAAAACCTCCCCCACCCTCACCCCCCCACCCTCACCCCCACCCCCCCCACACCCTCACCCCCCGAGACCCATACGCCGAACATTATACGAGCGCGCTTTTTTTTTTACAAATCATTAACTTTTCAACATCATTTATTCTTCTTTAATTTCCTTATCCGCACACGCGCACACACATATATGTCGTTCTATTAATTTACCATCGATTATTTAAATCATTATTTTATTATTATTTTCTCCAACCACCCGTTAAGGCCCCCCCCCCTTCCTAAAGCGAGACGTTACAATCACCACACACACACCACACATCACACACCATGCACACACACACACACGTACACACCACACATCACACACCATGCACACACACACACACGTACACCACACACGTACACCACACACGTACACACCACACACACGTACACACCACACACACACACGTACACACACACGTACACACCATACACACCACACACGTACACACCACACACGAACCCACCACACACACGCACGAACCGCACCACACACGCACCACACACACACGTATACACGCACACACACGCACCCACCACACACACGCACCACACACACACCACACACACGCGCCACACACATCACACGCACCACACACACACCCACGTACACGCACCACACACATCACACGCACACACCATCACACACACACCCCACACACACCGGCACACACACACCACACAAACACACACGGACCACACGCACACAGACACACACCCACACCACACACACACGTACACCACACACACACCACACACACCACACGCACACACCCCCACAGACACCACACACACACACTACACACACACACAAGACAAAGGTGCAGCCTCCACGCAAGAGGCTGCTGCTGCTAGAGTAGCAGCAGCAGTCCCCTAGACACACAGACAAAGGTGCCCCGCGTAGCCTCTAACAGGCTGCAGGGGCAAGTGCTGCTAGCGAGTAGCAGCAGCAGTGCCGATATACACACAAAGATTCCCCGAATAGCCTCTAACAAGCTGCAGGGGCAAGTGCTGCTAGGAGCGAGTAGCAGATGGACGGTCGGTGGTGAGTGGGTGAGTGGGTGACTGGGTGAGTGGGTGAGTGGGTGAGTGGGTGAGTGGGTGAGTGGGTGACTGGGTGAGTGGGTGAGTGGGTGAGGTGGGTGAGGTGGGTGAATAGGTGGGTGAGTAGGTGGGTAAGTGGTGAGTGGTGGGTGAGTGGTGGGTGAGTGGTGGGTGAGTGGTGGGTGGCGAGTGGGTGGGTGAGTGGATGAGTAGGTGGATGAGTAGGTGGGTGAGTAGGTGGGTGGGTAGGTGGGTGAGTAGGTGGGTAAGTGGTGGGTGGGTGAGTGGTGGGTGAGTGGTGGGTGAGTCTCCGCCACTGGCCAACGTTCCACCACGAGGCAGAGAGGACACACACACACACACCCACACACCCGCACACCCACGGACACCCACACGCACACCCACATCCACCCACACATCCACACACCCACGCACACACACGGGCACCCACACACCCACACACCCACGCACACACACGGGCACCCACACGCGCTCACCCCACCACACACGGCCTCCTGACGACGCCTGCTGCTGCTGTGTATTTGGAGTCTGCGTCTCTCATCATCATCATCATCACGGTGGCTAGGAGATGTTGACCACCTCGCCTGGTCTACAGGAGGTCTATGTGGAATCTGCGTCTCTCTCATCATCATCATCACGGTGGCTAGGAGATGTTGACCACCTCGCCTGGTCTACAGGAGGTCTATGTGGAGTCTGCGTCTCTCATCATCATCATCACAGTGGCTAGGAGATGTTGACTACCTCGCCTGGTCTACAGGAGGTCTATGTGGAGTCTGCGTCTCTCATCATCATCATCACAGTGGCTAGGAGATGTTGACTACCTCGCCTGGTCTACAGGAGGTCTATGTGGAGTCTGCGTCTCTCTCATCTTCATCACCATCACGGTGGCAGGAGATGTTGACTACCTCGCCTGCTCACTCACCCACTCACTTACTCACCTGCTCACTCACTCGTAAACTCACCCACCATCACCCACCCAATTGTACGCTCACCCACCTGCCCGTTTCCGTGGTTACGTAGTCGCTGTAAGCCCCGCCCCCTAAAATCAACATCGCCCACCCCACCCCCTTCGTCAACAACAACAAACAACAACAAACAACAACAAACAACAAACAACAACAACGAGAGAGAGGGGAGGTAACCTCTCTATTGCAAGGTCGTTGCAACGCAACATCCACCCACGTGGTCCCCCCCCACCACCACTACCCCCCCCCACCAACACCACTACCACGCCCCCCACCATCACTACCCCCCCCCACCACCACTACCACGCCCCCCCCCACCACCACTACCCCCCCCCACCACCACTACCCCCCCCACCACCACTACTCCCCCCACCACCACTACCCCCCCCCCACCACCACTACCCCCCCCACCACCACTACCACGCCCCCCCCCCCCACCACCACTACCCCCCCCCACCAACACCACGCCCCCCACTATTACCACGCCCACCCCCCCACTAATACCATGCCCCCCCACCAACGGAGCCCCCCCCCCCCACTTCTCCAGTTGTTGCAGCTGCTGTTGACGTTGTTGTTGTAGATGCTTGTTGTTGTTGTTGACGTTGTTGTGGTAGATGCTGTTGTTGGCGTTGTTGTTGTAGATGCTTGTTGTTGTTGATGTTGTTGTAGCGGTGATGTTGTTGTTGACGATGTTGTTGTTGTAGATGCTTGTTGTTGTTGACGTTGTTGTTGTGGTAGATGCTTGTTGTTGTTGTTGTAGCGGTGATGTTGTTGTTGATGTTTTTGTTGTGGTAGATGCTTGTTGTTGTTGATGTTGTTGACGTTGTTGTGGTAGATGCTTGTTGTTGATGATGTTGTTGTAGCGGTGATGTTGTTGACGATGTTGTTGTTGTGGTTGATGTTGTTGTTGTTGCCGTGGTGGTGGTGGTGGTGGCGAGTCACTGGTAGGTCTGCGGAGGGAAGTTATTGACTTCCCCAATCTCAGTGACGGTGGCACCACGGTGCGTGTACGAGAGCTTGATGCGCATACGCAGCTGGTGCTGAAACAACAACAACAGCAACAACAACAACAACCATCAACAACAACAACCATCAACAACAACAACAGCTGGCACCACGCTGCGTGTACGAGAGCTTGATGCGCATACGCAGCTGGTGCTGAAACAACAACAGCAACAACAACAACAACAACCATCAACAACAACAACCATCAACAACAACTGGCACCACGCTGCGTGTACGAGAGCTTGATACGCATACGCAGCTGGTGCTGAAACAACAACCATCAACAACAACAATCAACAACAAACAACAACAATCAACAACAGCTGGCACCACGGTGCGTGTAGGGTGCTGAGTGTGTGGTGAGTGTGTGGTGAGTGGGTGGTGAGTGTAGTAGTGAGTGAGTGGTGAGTGAGTGGTGAGGGTGAGTGAGTGAGTGGTGAGTGGGTGTGGTGAGGGTGAGTGTGTGGTGAGTGGGTGGTGAGTGTAGTAGTGAGTGAGTGAGTGGTGAGTGAGTGAGTGGTGAGGGTGAGTGAGTGAGTGGTGAGTGGGTGGTGAGGGTGAGTGGGTGGTGAGGGTGAGTGAGTGGTGAGTGGTGAGTGAGTGGTGAGAGTGAGTGTGTGGTGAGTGAGTGAGTGAGTGGTGAGTGAGTGAGTGGTGAGTGAGTGGTGAGGGTGAGTGAGTGGTGAGTGTGTGGTGAGTGAGTGGTGAGGGTGAGTGGGTGGTGAGTGTGAGTAGTGAGTGAGTGAGTGGTGAGTGAGTGAGTGGTGAGGGTGAGTGAGTTAGTGGTGAGTGTGAGTAGTGAGTGAGTGAGTGGTGAGTGAGTGAGTGGTGAGGGTGAGTGAGTGAGTGGTGAGTGGGTGGTGAGGGTGAGTGGGTGGTGAGGGTGAGTGAGTGGTTAGTGTGTGGTGAGTGAGTGGTGAGGGTGAGTGAGTGGTGAGTGGGTGGTGAGTGTAGTAGTGAGTGAGTGAGTGGTGAGTGAGTGAGTGGTGAGGGTGAGTGAGTGAGTGGTGAGGGTGAGTGTGTGGTGAGTGAGTGAGTGAGTGGTGAGGGTGAGTGAGTGAGTGGTGAGTGAGTGGTGAGGGTGAGTGAGTGGTGAGTGTACCTTGCTGGGGTTGAGCACGCGCATGAGCTGTGTCACGGTGCCAGCTCCGTGCGCTGGCACCGTGCTGCTGCTGGGAGACAGCAGCTGGAGCTGGAACGTCTGACACACACACAGACACACACACACACACAGACACACACACACACACAGACACACACACACACAGACACACACACACACAGACACACACACACACAGACACACACACACACAGTCACACAGTTACACACACACACAGTTACACACACACACACAGACACACACACACACACAGACACACACACACAGACACACAGTTACACACACACACAGACACACACACACAGACAGACACACACACACACACACAGTCACACAGTTACACACACACACAGACACACACAGACACACACACACACACAGACACACACACACACAGACACACACACACACAGTCACACAGTTACACACACACACAGTTACACACACACACACAGTCACACAGTCATACACACACACACAGACACACACACAGTCACACAGTTAGTTACACACACACACAGTTACACACACACAGTCACACAGTTACACACACACACAGTTACACACACACAGTCATACATACAGATACACACACACACAGTTACACACACACACACAGTCATACATACAGATACACACACACACAGTTACACACACACACAGTCACACAGTTACACACACACAGTTACACACACACAGTTACACACACACACAGTCATACACACACACACACACAGTTACACAGTTACACACACACACAGTTACACACACACACAGTTACACACACACACACAGTCATACATACAGATACACACACACACAGTCACACACACAGTCATACACACACACACACAGACACACACACACAGTTACACACACACACACAGTCACACAGTTACACACACACACAGTTACACACACACACACAGTTACACACACACACACAGTCATACATACAGATACACACACACACAGACACACACACAGTCATACACACAGACACACACACACACAGTCACACAGTTACACACACACACAGTCACACACACAGTCATACACACACACACACACACACAGACACACACACAGTTACACACACACACACACAGTCACACAGTTACACACACACACAGTTACACACACACACAGTTACACACACACACACACAGTCATACATACAGATACACACACACACAGTCACACACACAGTCATACACACAGTCATACACACAGACAGACACACACCGCACCATCACCACCACCCCCACCACACCATCACCACAACACCACCACACCACCCCCACTACCACACTATCACCACACCACCACCGCACCACCACACCATCACACCACCACACCACCACACCATCACACCATCACCACCACCACAACACCACAACCCAACCTCAACACCACCACCACACCACCACCACACCCCACTACCACACCACCGCACCATCACCACCACAACACCACCACACCACCCCCACCACCACACCATCACCACCACCCCCACCACCACACCACCACACCGCACCACCACGGCACCGCGTCACCTTGGGCACGGCTGCCTGGAAGACGAAGTCTGCCATGTCGGCGTCGCTGGAGTTGGTGGCGCGCAGGGAGATGGTGGTGAGCCCCCCGCCCGGCGGGGCCCCCCCCCTCTCAAAGGCAAACTCCACGCGGAGACCGCCCTTCTCAAACGCCACCATCGCCGGGATCATGCCTCCTCCACCACCACCACCACCTCCACCTCCTACGGGGGGAGGGGCGGGGGGGAGAAGTGGGGGGGAGGGGGGAAGGGGGCGGAGGGGTGGAGGGTGGAAGGGGGCGGGGGGGAGTGACTGAGCGAGTGACTGAGTGAGCGAGCGACTGACTGACTGACTGAATGACTGAGTGAGCGACTGAGTGAGTGACTGAGTGAGTGAGCGACTGAGCGAGCGACTGACTGACTGAGTGACTGAATGACTGAGTGAGCGACTGAATGACTGAGTGAGCGACTGAGTGACTGAGTGAGCGACTGAATGACTGAGTGAGCGACTGAGTGAGTGAGTGACTGAGTGAGTGAGTGACTGAGTGAGCGACTGACTGACTGAGTGACTGACTGAATTACTGAGTGAGCGACTGACTGAGTGAGCGAGCGACAGAGAGAGCGAGCGACTGACTGAGCGAGCGACTGAGTGAGTGAGCGAGCGACTGAGTGAGCGAGCGAGCGACTGACTGAGTGAGCGAGCGACAGAGAGAGCGAGCGACTGACTGAGCGAGCGACTGAGCGAGCGACTGACTGACTGAGTGACTGAGTGAGTGAGCGACTGAGTGAGCGAGCGAGCGACTGACTGACTGAGTGACTGAGTGAGTGAGCGACTCGGCGAGTGAGTGAGTGTCTCACCGTGCAGGGCGTTGTTGAAGGGCGACTCGCTGGTGATGGGCCCCAGGCTGTCGAGAAGAAACGCAGGAGGGGGTCCCTGCAGCGTGGCCACTGGGGGGGGACCTGCACCCCCACACAGACAAAGGTGCCCCGTGTAGCCTTAACAGGGTGTAGGGGCAAGTGCTGAGTAGCAGCTGCAACTTCTACATGCAATCACACCTTCGCACTCAAACACTCACCATCACTCACACACTCACACACACACTCACTCCCTCACACACTCTCTCACACTCTCTCACACTCTCTCACACTCACTCACACCCTCTCACACCCTCTCACACTCACTCACACTCACTCACACTCACTCACACTCACTCACTCACACTCACTCACTCACTCACTCACACTCACACTCACTCACACTCTCTCACACTCACTCACACTCACTCACACTCACTCACTCACACACTCACTCACACTCTCTCACACCCTCTCACACTCCCTCACACTCTCTCACACTCTCACACACTCACTCACACTCACTCACTCACTCACACTCCCTCACACTCCCTCACACTCTCTCACACTCTCACACACTCACTCACACTCACTCACTCACTCACACACTCACTCACACTCTCTCACACCCTCTCACACTCCCTCACACTCCCTCACACTCCCTCACACTCCCTCACACTCTCACACACTCACTCACACTCTCACACACTCTCTCACACTCTCTCACACTCTCACACACTCTC